GGCCAATGGGAGAGTGACTAAATGTGACCTGATTTAGTAATTTGAATGACCAAAATTGATATTGATTTTTCTAGTGACTAAACATAACACGATTTAGTAATCCCAGTGAACAAATGTGGCATTTACTCCACTCAATCTTATAGATCTTCTAGCAAGGAACAAATCATGGCACAAGAACTCGGCCCATGGATGAACAAACTGCATTCAAATATGGATGGCAATGGGGCGAGTATTTGGGTAAATGTCACATGTGGTCACTGAGATTACTAAATCATATCATGTTTAATGGAGTTGGACGGAAACTAACGATAGAGTGGCTAAATGTGACATGTTTCAGTAATTCGAGTGACACTCATAAATAAAAGTAATTCGAGTGACCAGTGTTTGACGGAAACTAACGGGAGAGTGACTAAATGTGACATGTTTTAGTACTTCGTGTGACCGAAATTGATATTAATTTTTTCTAGTGACTAAACATAACACGATTTAGTAATTACTAATTTCCTTCAGTTAGTACTCGATGATAATTATTAGTAATTTCCCATGAAGAAGAAATTTAAGTTCTAAGTGTTTGTGTAAGTAAACAATTTATTAAATTAATTATCCATTTCAACATTTAAAACTCCGGCTTTTAATGAAATCAATCTTGCTTTCCTTCAACTTCATCATTAAGCTTTTCTTTTACAGTCATCATTCCTTCAGCAGTATAGCATGAACCAGTTTCACAAGTTTTAAAATTACTGTTGAGCACAATGCATCACAAGAAATCCAGAACCAATGTGTATTAAATTTTTTTTTTTACTCAGATCCCGACGCGGAGGCGCGAGCAATGATACTAGTTTTAATATAGATCCTAATCAATGTTGTAACCTCATACAATTACGGATCATAAACCATTTACTAATAAAGAACGGGTGATCCTGCAACAATTGATAGAGACGACGGCAGAGGCAGGGATGGCACCGTCGTATGAGCCGTACCAGTGGGGTTCGACGGTGGGAGGGATGCTCAACGGGTGAAACTAGAAGAGGCAGTTGTAGGAATTGTTCTTTTATTTTAATTAATAATTTTTATTACTATTTATTCTCATTTTTCATAAATGTATATAGTAAGTTATGAACATCAAATGTCATTGATATAATAAAATTTTATTTAATAATGTTTTTAATATATATTATTTATTCGTTATTGGAAAATGCATAGACAATGATTACATTTTCATACATATATTTAATGTATTTATGTATATTATTATATATATTTTTGATGAACCATATGGTCCACTAAAAATTTATTCGGGTCCAACTGTACACATTTTATCCCTCATTTCTTGGTAGTTTGACTTTGCATTTCATCGTCCCTCGACCTATTTTACAGTAGGTTGTGCTATTTTTGACACATTTCTGATCCTAGCACACGTGGAAAGGTCGAAGACGAGTTGCACGACAATTCGAGGCGAAAAGTTGCCAAAACGGCGCCACCGACCTGCGTTTTTGTCCGAAGTCACGGTTTGAGCTTCAAAATCACGGCCGTGAAGTGCAGACCGTGAAAGTGACTATCGGGCTCTGTAAATAGAAGGCAACAGGGAGAGATAAAAGGAGGTTGGATCTTGGGTTAGGCTTAAATTTGCTGGGTTCCAGCTGAAGAAACCCCAAAGGGAAAACCGTAGTGAGAGAACGGTCTTCTTCTTAAAAATACAGAGAGAGAAAGTGATGAACAAGGAGAGAAGAAGAATATTTGAGCATACTTCAAGCTAGAGGAGTGAAGATTCTTACCTCTCAAGGGAATTCTCATCACAAGGAGGGAAGACAAGCATCCACCATGCTTCTTTCTTTCATCTTTGTTGTTTTCAATTGCCTATCTATGGAGTAGAGTTCCTCTTCACTTGGGTATTGTGAATCCTAGTCTAGATGTGTGTTAGAATGTAAGAACATGACTTTCTGTGTGTTGATTGAATGTTTTATATATTATTTGAGGTATTATTCATGAATGATTGAGTTTTGCTTGATTTTACTATTTATTATGCCAATTTGACCAAGATAGAGAGAAATCCCCTTCATGCTAAAAGGCTTCAATAAACTGGAATTCATTGGCCAATTGAGCCATCTATTTAGGCCGAATTAGGGCAAACCTCAAATATCGGATAAGTGCCATGATTCCATCATGATTGGTCTCTATCCGCCATCCAGATTAATTTATGAGGGATGGGTTCTTGCAATCCTTGGTTGATTGGTTAAGAGGGCTAGGTTTCCTAGCTTATAGTTGCAATCCTTAGTCGAATGGCTAAGAGAGTTAGTCACCTAGCTTATTGTTGGTATCCTTAATCGAACGACTATGAGAGTTAGGGTTTTCTAGCTTGTTTCACCCGCCTCGCGGTTTACAAATACATCATTCACACTAGAGCTTTGTTCATTGTTTCTTAATACAAGACTAGGGGGAGAAATACCTGGGTGAATTGTTCTCTTATTGGGACAACCTCGATTTATTTTACTTGTTTGTTTATTTTGTTGTTTTCTTAGTTTTTAAATCCAAAACCATTTAGCTAGATAACAACTTAAGCAAATGAAGTAGGGGTACATGGACTAGCCCGGGTTCACAATTAAAACATATTTGCCTTATACTGCACCCGGCCAGAGTTTATACTTGGGCTCTGTGAGAGATTTAAATCGCGATGCAGTCCGTGCAAGTCAAGAATTTTCACTCCTTTAGCTTGATTTAAGCCCAAATCTTCTTCTTCTCTTCTTGTTGATCACATTCTCTCTCTATATCTTCAAGAAGAAGACCTTTCTCTCACTAAGGTTTTCCACTTGGGATTTCTTCAGTTGCAACCCTAGAAGGGAACCCAAAAAATTTAAGCCTAACCCAAGATCCAACCTCCCCTTATCTCTCCCACAGACTTCTATTTATAAAGCCCGATAGTCACTTTCACAGTCTGCACAACATGGCCATGACTTTGGAGATCAAATCGTGATGTCAGACAAAAACGCAGGTCACTAGTGCCATTTTGGTCCGACATCACGGTCACTAAACAATTATCACGGTCAGCAACTGTGATAATCTTCTGGCCCGTGAGGTGGAAAAACCTCCCCGTTCCCAACGAAATTCACGCCCACGATGCAATTGTCACGGTCGACTTTGGACTTCTCTTCACGTTATGGCGCTTTTCGACTCTAATTTTCTCGAAACTCTTCCTCGACCCTTCCACACGTGCTAGGACGTGAAATGTAAAAAAAAAATAGCACAACCTAGCATAAAATAGCTCGAGGGATTATAAAACGCAAAGTCGAACTATCAAGTGATGAGGGGTAAAATGTGTACAATTGGACCCGAATTATGAATGGTTTCAATTCTGACGTGCTTTTTCAGTGTTCCAACGAAAATATCGCATTGGTAATAAGAACATTTTTACGGGGCGTTAGTAATAGGTTATTCCTGACGAGACTTATATTGGCGGAGACCGATGACCATATGTCATCGGTAAAACCTATTCATGACGTAGTTTGACATTTACCGATGCAAAACGTGTCGTCAAAAATTATCATTTTTTCTAGTGGTTTGATGCTGAGAATTTGCGAGCGGATGACAGCGAAGGCATCATCCAAGGCAAGCAGAAATCAAACAGCCTCTCGGTCCCTCCCTTCTCTCTAGCCTATTGCCTAATGTCGCAAGAACAATTGCAACAGGAGCAATGGGGTGTGATCGAAACTAAATGAAGCTTGTACCAAAAGGTAACGAGCTTTGTGTAGGACACGGACACGAAGAGTTTCTCCTGCCGCATTAATGACCCTATGTCCCTATCGACCTTTAAAGCTCTTAGGCCCTGGTTGTCGAACCTTAGCTGAAGGTCGGCTCAAATATCACTTGTCGTTCTCGTTGCTCGAACACGTACTGTTCCGTACCTCCTTGCACATAGTTGTCTTAAGCCAGCCTTTCACTGTTGCATCTCACCTGCCCCATGCATCATCCCTGATTTCTAGTCCTACCTTCGACCTAGGATAGCTACCATCGACAAGCACGAGCTTGTTTTTTGCGATTAGGGTTTCAGGCATATTATTCACCTAGTTGCTATAATTTGAATTAGTAAGAAGATCGCTCCGAAATAGTTGGCCATGATTATCTAACAGGTGGAGGTAGAGGGGCAAAGTCAGCGGGACGATGTCAATCTTCTTCAATAGTCATCGTCACAATCCTAATGTTTTAAGAAACTCTGATACAATGTAAAATAAACTATATGCGAAAGCAAACAACACAACAATATACATGGTTCCTATTCATAAAAAAAAAAACAATATACATGGTTCCTCGTTCGATTTGAACGAGACTATTCTACAGAGAGTCGAAGCTCTCAGGCGAACTCTTATTAATCTCTCAGTCTACAAAAGCTGCCATCTCTTCTTGTCTTGCCACACACTCTTCTATCTTCTCCTAATATAGCCCTCTACGTGACAACTAGGGTAGTTACTAATTAGTTTAAGAATGGACAATAAGGCAAAAGATCCTTAAACATAAATAATATGTACGTACAAAGTGGTATCGCTCAACAATGTGGAACGCATTAGTCCTCTCCACCTGTGGTCTAACCATTTTTCGTTAACAAAAGTAATGTAAGTGTATTTTGCTAACTCGAGAGTTGGTAAAATAGTCAAACAAGAGTGGCAACTGGCAAGACAAAAAATACGATTAAGGGATAAAAAAATCAGTTCCAACTCATATAATAATATAATAAAACTGGATTACATTCGTACATTTAATTAGCTGCATAATCAAACACCAATTTTTTTTTTTTTTAGAGAATCAAACACCAAACTTTAAAACAACAAGCACATGCAATCCATAGAGGTGGTAACTCGTAAGGACGCATTATTGAAACCAAAAGAAAAGAGCATTGCATAACGGGAAGACTTATAGCTCCGTAGGATTGGCGATGCGAATATCAACATCAGTATCGATCTTAATAACTCGAGAACTTTGCTTCATTTGTGGAGGAGTATTATCATTTATCAATGTCCATACTTATCTTTATACGCACCCCAAAGCTCGTGAACGCTCTTGCCGAGCAAGTCCTCGAAAAAGCTCTCTCTATACTCAAATCTCATCTTCTTATTCAACTCAGCCACAAACCCGCTCCTCAGCCCCTCGCAGTAGTCCAAAAACCTGGCCGTAACGTCGTAGCCTTGGTCCCACTTGTCCCCTTCCCCGGGCCTCGCCCAGTGACTCGGCGCGTAACCTGCCTTGAGCCTCACGAAATCCGCAATCCCTTCGATCAATCCGCCGGGAGTCCGCCCTTTTCCATCCCACTGCCACACGTGGGTCATCTCGTGGTATATCACTCCCCTTATCTCCTGCGCCACGTCACCCTTGTAGGTCCCGATGTAGCGTGCGCTGACGTGGATTTCGTCGCCCGCGGTGTAGGCCACGCCATCCGCGGCCTCGATGAACAGGGTGACTTCGTGCACGTGCTTTCTCTGGTCGTGGGAATTAGTCTGGCGGAAGGTGCGCTGTATGAAGGACGCGGCCGATGACATGACGTGCGTGGAACGGACGGTGCCGATGGAATGTGCGAACCTCTTGCCACCGTTGGATCCGGGGGCTGTATTTTCTACGACGAAGGTGGTGGCGACGACGTAGGTGTGGATACCGGAGTGGACCAGTAGGAGGCAGATGGAGAGAATGAAACGACAACGGCTAGGAGTACTCATCATTAGTAAGAATTTTTGTGGATGATTAAGGTGGGCTGGGCATTATTAGTGTAGCAGATTATTATATAGATTAAGCATAAATGAATTAATGGGTAGGCAATAGTCAATAGACATGTGACGATTATTCTTAGGTCTGGTGGATGTGATTTTTGCGGGCACGTATTTGAGCGAGTTCGGCAATTATTTTTTGGTAATTATTACAAGGAGAGAGATACGTCTCGTTACCTTCATTCTTTTGTCAAACTCATAAGTGTTACATGCAAAAAGACAGCAAAATATGGCTGGCTTTATTTCCACGTTCTATTTTTGGCAAAGTTAATATAGTTCGATAAAACTCAGAATAATGCAGATATTGGCATACAAAATATTTTTAACCTAAATTATAAATTTTGAATTAAAAAAAAATCACACGTGGCGATGAAAATTGTTATTTTAAAATTTTCCGACCAATGGCAACTAGTCCACCAGGCAGGGCGGAGCAACAACCCCTATTTTTGACGTGGAATTTGCAACAAAACAATGTTTCATTGTGCAGTCCGTTGGTGGAGTAATTGAATTTCGCTCCAAAAGTTCTTCTTCGACTCCCAACCTTACTCTTTTTAACATTAATTTTCAACCCCTACCCCTAGCAAACCCAATTTTAACCCTCAATTTTTGTTCCTTTCTCCATTACGGAAACGGAAGCTTGTCCATTATCCCAATACAATTATATTAAATTGATAGAACTTTGTTACGATGACTAATTGTTGTAACTTGTAAGTTATTTTGATTTGGAGAAAATGATATATCTCGTTTATTAAGTGGTCGATCATTTTCCAAAAAATTGATTTACTACATTCATCAAGAGGTCTACCTATTACATCAAGTTGTCCACCCCTTCCAACAATCGATCAACTTGATGAACCAAATAAACTCCAAATGGATCACAATGCTTCGCGTTGGTTTTGCCATTGGTCGTCAACGTCTGCACATAACGAGCTAGGAGTAAATACTATTCAGGATTTTGAACTTGATATGTTCGCTTTAAATTTCGAAAGCAATTTATTTTGTTTCTATATCATTACAAATGTTAGCTTCATTACAGTGTTCTTTGAAAGACTTTCAGCATACAAACTAAGGCTTTCGGCAGAAGACACTATTCTGGGTTTCAAATACTAATGCATTTAGCATAAGCATAATAACGTTTCATACCTTGGCAACGAACTAAAGTTTTCACCATTGAGAAATGTCATCTGCTATTTCAGGAAGTTTGTGCTTTGGATGTCACTTAATTGATATTTAATAATTTAAAGACCAATCTTATTGTAAATAATTTAATAATCTTAATAATTTAAATAATTTTATAATTTGAAGATCAATCTTCTAGTATATATATTAGTCCTCCATTAAATTTTAAGTAGAAAAAGGAACTTGTGCCAAATGTTTTTTGCTACAATGTGTACCAAAGAACCTGATTACACATACCACTTCCAAATTCTATGATTGATTGTGATTATACAGATATAGCTTCAACAATAAAGATGGTAATAAGCAATAGTTAAAGAACGATAAAGCTTAAAATATATAGAAACTAGAAAGCTTATATAACCGCATAATAACTATATATATCAACCGTCACACAGGTACACATAGTTAACCACAATCTCCAATCACCAGGAATCATAATTTGAGTTCTAGTATGCATGCACGCAGACACAAACTGAAGAAACTTTCAAAGAGTATTCAACAATCAAAATAAAAACCATGCACAAAAACACACACTAATTATAAATTCCAAGCATATTATTGAAAACACATCATCTAAGAACCACCCTCTTATTAATGATAGCATTTTAGTTACTTTACATACTTAGCCTTGTATTCCTTTCAAACTTCATCCACGTACGCTTTTCCCAAGCAACTACTTGAAAAGTGTCACGTTATAACCATCTCGCATCTTCTTATTAAGCTCCGCCACGAACACGTCGTTCTTCAGTCCGTTGCAGTAATCCAAAAACATATAGTCGTAACGTCGTACCCTTGGTCCCACTTTTCGCACTCCCCCGGTCTTACCCAACGACTCGGAGGTGGGGCCAAACCGGCTCTCAACACTTTGGCATGGTTCTTCTTCTTGGAAGGGGGAATCCTCTTCATATCCCCATTGGCATGGTTCTTCTCCTTGAAAGGGGGATTGGTAAAAGAATACGAACCTTAACTTCCACATTTTTGGTTGTTTCATGAAGTTTCGGGGTAACCATCTTCATATATTGATGAATACCCGCACACTTTGGTGAAGTCATAAGGATCCATTGTAGAATTTGATGATGCGGAATTGAAACGAACACACGAGACAAAGGATTTTCCGTGGTGTCCTCGATCGATTGATTGATCGAGACTAATCCACGGTGAGCTCATAACGAGCTCACGGCTGACGATTTTATTATGAGACTACATTGTGACGGCTTGCATACGATAATCTCGTAGCTAAGCTTATATAGAGAAAGACTTAGGGTTAAAACCCTAATCCTAATCCAACGATTAAGTCGAGGCCCAATACTACCACGGTTTAAGTAACCGCAACACTCCCCCTCAAGCGAAGACATGAATGACAAGAATGTCGAGCTTGAAGAAGTAAATGTGAAGAACAAGCATGATGGCTTGAACCACAAAATTCGAGATGAATAACATCCTGGACGAGGTTGATTGGAGACGACTGACTCTCTCTGAACAACCTGATGATTGAGACGGTTGACTGCGTCTCTTGAGCTGGAACACACTTGGTACATCGCGGTCAACCTGATGACTGAGTTAGTCGACCGATGTATGGTGACCTCCTATTCTCCCCCTCAAGCCGGAGCATGAACATCGTGAATGTCCGGCTTGAAAAGAAATGAATGGTTGATAGGTGCCCAATAATAAATCGAAAGAGGGGACGACCATTTCTTTGATCGTGAATGCCTGCTGGACGATAAAGGGACGATTACCATTTTGTTGATGACGGCCTGAAAGGGAAACCTGTTGCCTCTGGTTTACGCCAATCTTCCGGTCCAATCAAAGATTGGGAAACCCTAAAAAAAATTACCAATTCCAGCGCCGTCCATCTCGTCTCCTCTTTCTCCTTCCGTCTTCTTCCTCCGGCGATGAAACACAGAGGATGACTCTGTCTGCAGGCTGGGAATCAACGAAGAGGAGAGGAGGCATGTGATGGCGGTGGAAGCAGATCGACGACGATGAAGTTGCGGTCGGGACGAGGCTGGTGATGGCGGTGGCTCCGCTCTGACCAGTCTCGCCTGACACTAACAACGATGATGATTCAATGGCGTGGGGACGCGGACGACGATCGACGCGGATTCAACCCACCTCGACTCCGCTGCCTAGTCTGATGGCGCCAGAGGACGATGATCGACTACGACGATACGGGGTCAGAGGCCGGAGTGGACATTGGCGCTCCTATTGACGCGACGACGGGAAGGACATCGTCGTCAGTACAGAGTCGGCGTTGGAGACGGGTGTAGACCTCGGCTCTCCTGGCGACTAGGAAGGAAGGCGCGACGACGGGAAGGACGTCGCCGTCGCTCTTTGACTGAGACAGGGGTCGGGTCGATGAGGCTCAGGACAGAAACATCTGTGGTGTTCCTATGCTGGTCATGGCCCGCTTCCTTTTCCTGTGTGGTGATGAAGATGACGATGGCGCCGCCAATTCTGATGGTGACGACGTTGGTGATGCAGGGAAGAAAAGCAACGACGGGATGATCATGATCACATCGAGGATGAGCCCGCTGTCAACGATACTCAGGGGCATAACATCGTTGATGAAGAGAACAAGCTAGCGGGATGAACTTCGCTACTCCTGCGGAAGACTAGCTGAATCTACCGCTCTGATACCATGTAGAACCAGTTGCTCCCAATAACTCGAGTTGTTGGGAGCAACTGGTTTATGTTGGATCTTATAGCACTCTCTAACACGCCCCCTCAAACGAAAGCCAACTCACGGGCTTGAAGACAACGATTAATATTGGGGGTCGTGGAGATTCGAACACACGACCACTTGGCCAATATTAACAGTTGTCTTTCAAGCACGTGGTATGGCGGGCCTGTGCAAACTTCAAGCGCATGAGTCGGCTTTCTTTTGAGGGGGCGTGTAAGGAAGTGGTTAAGTACCATACATGGGCCTGTATAAGATCCAACATAACCTTCTCCCAACAACTCGAGTTATTGGGACCAACTGGTTTATGACATCCATGATTCAAAAGCTACTACACAAACAAAAACACTTCAAAGAGAATTAAACACACAAAAACCACCCTTCAGAGAGAAGAGTGGGTGAAAAACAAAACACAGAATAGAAAACTTATTAAGTATTACTAATACTAATAATAATAAGGGATAATGACTAAACTAACAACTCAAGGATTTTCTAATAGTTACCAAGGTTCCCTGACAACAGCGTCAAAAAGCTTGATCACATTCATGCGTTCAGGTTATTGTCAGTGGTTGAACTACTAGATGACTTGGTTGATTCAAAATTATATACATGCATTAGCCGGCAAGTAGAAGCTTTGACCATGTAATAAATTATTAATTAGTGGATAGCCCCATATATGATTTCAAAGATTGATTACAATTGATTGTACCCAAGTTTAAGCAGTAGTGTCAAATAACCTGCAAAAATGGGCACCGGTTAGCGACGTATGGCCTCTCGACAACCCTTTCACTGAAAATTAATGTGAATCCAACAGCCTTAATGGATGATCTAACCCATGCTTAGTGCTAGAGAAAGCCATAAGTGCCTTATACACAGAAGCATTTGAACACATAATTAGTGGCACAAACAAAACTCATAATTGATTCATCATCAGGCTGGGATAGAAATAAACAAACACGATAAAAGCCAAAAAGCAAGTGTTATTATGGGATCTGAAATCTAATCTCAGTGTTTAGCCATTTTAATGAACGTGAAATAAGGAACAGCTGCACCAGAATCTAGAATTCGGAATAAAAGAGTTAGGTAGGGTTGGGTTACC